TTACCATGGAACCTCTGATCTATTACTCAATTTAAGTAACTTGATTTGTGAATTGGAAAAGTAAGCTATTTTCTGTTGTTTCCTATACCACTAACATGATATGCAAAGAACTCCCTACCAATATCATAAAGCTATTTACAAAAAACTCTTCATGTTTTAGATGAAAATAAATGAGGACACACCCCCTCCTCTCACACCATGTTTCCATTAGGAATCATTACTGTGCCTTTTTTTCACAGAAGCATTTGCTTAAGGGCAGTATACACTAGGCCATTTTAAAGATCTCTCTTTAATATGGAAATATAGAAATGTACCAAAAAAAGGAACCTCAGAAATGATTGGCCTTAATTCACAAATACAAGTTCAATTTTTTTTAAACATCTCTATCACATACTTGTGTCTAGCTTCCACTGAAACAGCTCTAGTAAGGGGAAGTTCATTACAAGGCAACCAATCCCATTTCAATAGCTGTTGCAAAGTTCTTATAAAAAATAAAATTTGCCTTCCTATAATTTTCACCAATTATCTTATTTTTGCCCTCAAAGGACCACCAAAAACGAGTCCTTGGTCCCTCCTTTCCCTTCTCCAGACTCAACAATCCAAATTATTCAACTATTCTACATACAGCCTTTCAATTCAGGCTTTTACCCTCTAGACACATTCTAGTAGTCAACATTCTTAAAATGCAACAAAACAGGCAGTGTAGTACAGTAGTCAAGAGCACAGGCTTCAAAGTCAAACTTCCTGGATTCGTCTTGGTTATTAATTTTGTGACCTTGGGAAAGTTATTAAACTTCTCTATAGTTTAGTTTCCACGTCTATAAAATGTAGATAATAATAAAAACCATTTCATACAGTTGCTGTGTAAAGATTAAATGGCATAATGTAAGTAAAGCACTCAAAACAGTACATGGCACACAGAAAGCACGCTATAAATACAAGCAATTTTCAGATCAAACATGGTCAAACTAGGAAAATAAGACTCATCTCCTTTAACTTTGTTACTCGGCCTTATTAAAACAGCCTAATGCTTTAGTGTTTCTGGCAGTTATACTGTACATTGAGCTTAAAGTCACATAAAATCTTTTAATTTGTTTTTATAATACATTGCTATATTCATTCAGTTGATAGTCTGAATCTACTACTTACTATCTATTACAATTATAATCCTTTTTCCAGTCTTCTGAGATCTTTTTTTTTTTTTTTGCGGTACGCGGGCCTCTCACTGTTGTGGCCTCTCCCGTTGCGGAACACAGGCTCCGGACGCGCAGGCTCAGCAGCCATCGCTCACGGGCCTAGCCGCTCCGCGGCATATGGGATCTTCCCGGACCGGGATACGAACCCGTGTCTCCTGCATCGGCAGGCAGACTCTCAACCACTGTGCCACCAGGGAAGCCCTGAGATCTTTTGAGACATAATTTTGTCATTAAACCTTCCATGTTCATGTTTTGCTTTGTTAAGTAGGTACATGAATATTTTCACAAAAGAAAACTCAACTATGAGGAAGGGCAGAAACCCAAGCAACTCTAGGACCTAAGAAAGGAGAACCCTGGAAAACACCAGCATATGAGAGATTTTCTGGTTCCATTTTAAGGGGGAAGGAAGAACTGTTAATCACATAAGGTCAAGTAGAGAGCTTGAAAAAGTAAATGTTCAATTTCAAAAAAAAAAAAAATCCAAGATACAAAAGAAATCACCAACCCCACTTTCTTTAGCCAAGATTCAGCCCCCCAACTGTGTCCAACTTGGAGAGAACTTGCTATGAGCCAAAGCTTTTAATGTCCCTCTTTTTTGAAGGCACAGTGGAAACAATTCCCTAGAACAAAGGAGTTGTGTCAGCGAGCTCTCTGCTTTTTCAAGTTGGAAGGACAGTTGATTCACACCATGTGTCAGCAAGAAACACCAGTTAGAACCAAGTGAGATAAATTTTAGGGCTCCTGAGCTGTTTAATATTAAACTGTAATAAACCGTCTTTACAGCAAATTATTAACAAAATATTTGTTTACCCTCCCGTTTATATGCTTCCTTCCCTTGAAAAGAAATTCTAAGACAATTCATAATTCCAAGGTCACATATGCACCACCAAGAAATCATTTTCAAATGTCAGCATCCAGAACCAATGATCTGGATCATACTCCCAAAACATTGCCCTGGCATATCACAGTCAGCCTTGCTATACAGTCCTTTGTGTTCCAAGATAGGGCTAGAAATGCTGGTCACTGTCTTTGATTAAGACTTTACTTCTGTCATTAACTCTCTCTACATAGAGTCATTTTAGTATCCACTCTAGTCAATAAATTTACTTTATGCCTACACCAAGAAATAAAATACATGTTCAACTACATAAATGACACTAAAATGATCTTATTTTTAATACTTTGAAAGATAAAAAAAGATCTGAAACAACCTTGATCTATATGGACTTATATGGAAAAATGGTTCTAAAACAATCAAAATAAAATTTAACAGAATGAGTGATACCAAAACTCACACGATAAAAAAAAAAGACTGGAGACAGACTAGCTTAACATGTTAAGAGACATTTTTCTGAAAACAGAGGTCACTAAAGCCAAATGATTGGTTCAATACAAGGAATTAAGTAATTTACAATGGGTAACTGGGAAAAATTAATTGCCTGCCTTTCAGAAATGACCCTATATAATTCGTTAGATATCTACCTGAGGCCTAATGCATATTTTCAGTACTTATCTATCATCAATTATATATTATCAGTTAATCTGGCCTAGATCATATGACTTCTTTGGAGAATCTGACACCCTACACAGGTCAATTCTCAGTTAACAAAATGACAATCTAATATGGCCCCAAACATCACTGAAGAAACAAATATTGCTTACCAGTAAATTACTTCTCCATAGGGTTATGTTTAGGTCACTCTCCAAAAGCTATGGAATATGCTTATCACACTTCAGTTCTCCAATCTAAGGAGTAACTTGATTGTTTACTTAATGAGGGGAAATAGGAGTAATTTTCTTAAATGTTCATGATACACTAAACCAGAAGAAATAAACTTTTAAAAGGCAAGAGAAATATGACTACTAAGTAATAAAATAACCAAATAATAAAATAAAATGACCACAGCAAGTTAAACAAAAACTGTTTTCTCAGGCTTCCCTGGTGGCGCAGTGGTTGAGAGTCCACCTGCCGATGCAGGGGACACGGGTTCGTGCCCCGGTCCGGGAAGATCCCACATGCCGCAGAGCGGCTAGGCCCGTGAGCCATGGCCACTGAGCCTGCGCGTCCGGAGCCTGTGCCCCGCAACGGGAGAGGCCACAACAGTGAGAGGCCCGCGTACCACAAAAAAAAAAAAAAAACTGTTTTCTCAGAAACAAGAAAACTGGCTATACCAGGTGGTTTGGACATTTTACCATCATAGGCTCACTTAGTAAGCATTTATTGAGAATTTACTAAAATGAAGACAAGAATGTTTCCCTTTGAGGAAGCACATACTATAATAAGAAACACACAAGGAAACACAATTGAAGGTAATTATAAATCTGTATAGAAATTAATATAATGTTTAAATCTGTACACCTAAATCTGTACAGCATTATAAAAACGTAATGTTTGCTGTGGAATTGGATTAATCAGAAAAGGCTTCTTGGAGTTGCTGAAAAACAGTAAAAAAAAAAAATGAGGGGAAAAAAAAAACTTAAAAGGATACAGAGGAGGGAAAAAAGAACACAAACAAACAAACAAAACGACTGCAGATTTGTCATCCAAATTATGTAAGCAAGAAGACAATGGAAAGATATCTCCAAAGTGCTGAAGGAAAAATTGTAGACCTAGAATTCTATAGCCAGCAAACATATTCTCCAAAACCTAAGGACAAAGATTTTCTTTTTTTCAGACAAAATCTTAGAGAAGTTGTTTCCAGCATGCCTGCACTACAAGAAACATTAAAGTAAGTTCCTTAGGTGAAAAGAAATAAAATCAGGTCAAAATATGGATATATACAAGGGAATAAAGAGCATAGGAAATGATAAATATAAAGATTTTTATCATTTTTTAAATTTATCTAAAAGATAACTGAAAGTTTAAAGCAAAAATAATAGCAATGAATTGTGGAATTCATAACATATGTAGAAGTAAAATACATGCTAACTATAACTCAAAGGTCAATGGGGGAAATAAAAGTATACTGTTACAAGGATCTTATGTTATATATGAATAGGTATAATATCATTTGAAGGCCAACTGTTGTCTTAATCAGTTCAGGCTGCTATAACAAATTACATAGACTGAGTGGCTTCATAAAAATTTATTTCTCAGAGTTCAGTAGGCTGAGAAGTCCAAGATCAAAGCACAGCATATCCAGTGTTTGGTGAGGGCCAGCTTCCTGGTTTACCAGACAGTCATCTTCTCACTGTATCCTCACATTGCAGAGAACAGAGAGAGAGAGAGCAAGCTCTCATGTCTCTTCTTACAAGGGCACAAATCCCTTTCAAGAGGGCTCCACTCTCATGACTTCCTCATGAATTAATTAACTCCCAAAGGCCCCACCTCCTAATATCATCACATTGGCAGGGGGAGTGGGGGGGAAGGGTAAGGTATCAACATATGAATTTTGAAGGGACACAAAACATTCAGGCAATAGCAAATGTAATAAGTTAAAGATGCATATTGTAAACCGTACAGCAACCACTAAAATATATATATAACAAAAAGGTATACTGAATAAGACAATAGTGGGGGAAAATTGAATCCTAAGATATATTCAGTTAATCTAATTTAGTTAAGGAAAGTAAGAAAAGAGAAAACAAGGGACAAAGAACAGATGGGACAAATGAATAATAAATAACAAGATAACAGACTTAAACCTAGTCAAATAGGTAATTATATTAATGTAAATGATTTCCTCTTTTCCTGCTTTCTTTTTAATTAATTAAGTATAATTCCATTTCCCCCTTCCCATCTTTTAAGCTATTATTGTGATTCCTTTTGTGGTGCCTTGCTGTAGTTTTGTTGCTTGTGTTTACCCTGCTTGAGGATCTTTAAGCTTCTTGGATTTCCATTTTAATATTCCAGAGAAAACCACTTGGAGCTTTTTAAAATGTTTCTGGTCTTAATTTTGTGGAGGTAAGCCCATATCTGTAAAACATATAATAATATTGCTTTTTTTTAATCAGTTTAGATATTGTCTTTCTGCTATAATCAGAGATTTACCTCATCATACCATATCATTCCCCCTCCCTCTCCTCTCAACATACTTATACCACTTTTAGTTTTTCTAAAGGTTATTTTTGTAATTTAATATACTATGCTTAATATTGTACTTTTATTTCTTAATAATATACTTATGCTTTTATTTCTTACATCATCATCTATGACTACCTTGACCCCCTAATTGTGCAAAGTGAGGCATTAGCTCCCCTTTACTTTCTCTTCATTTGTTTTCCTCACTTTCTTCCAACTGTTGAAGTGAATTTTACATTGACTGGGTTGGGTTAATAACATATATATTCTGTTCCAGAATCATAATTGTCTTTTATGGTTTACCAGTACTTTGTCTTTAAAACCAATAAACAACATTTGTATTAGTTTAACTATATAAATATTCTTCACTTTTAAGCCAGGTTGTATACTAAGATTACCATTCCTTTCTTATGGGAATCTCCCCCCCTTTTTCTGGAAAACTCTCTCTTGATGCTCCCATTTCCCCTGCTCCAATCTGAACTGACACCTATCCAGGCTTTCTGCATACCTATTTTTGATGTTCTTTCTTGGTTGACTTACAGAGCTGCTAAGATGATCAGAAATTAAGGGAACAAAATGCTGGAGACCAGGGGAAGAATGAGAAGGGGTGTGCCAACATTCTTTAGTCACTTTTTCCCAAGATATTTGCCAAGTCTGCACACAAGAGGCTAAGTTTCCAGTGTAGGAATCAAGCAGAAGAGGTAGAGAAATCAGCTTTTGACAGTTTTGTGGCACTGAAGTGACATAAATTAGAGACAAGAGGTAAAGATCCTAGAGAGGAAAAATGGTAAAAAACACAACACTCTTCTGTTTTTCCCTCAATACATGCGCTGAATTCTTAACCTACAGCGGGCAAGAGGCTAAGACGACAAGCATAGAAGCAGAACAGAGTTTTAGGTAGTCTTGAGGTATGGAGTAAAGATTAGAATGCAGTGTCCACCTGAGGATAGGGGCCCTAATCATCACTCCAACGCTGTTTGGAAAATGTGAAGGACTATAGCAAAAGGCAGTACTGAACCAGAGATAGCCATAGCTCTGACCCTGACTGGATTCAGATCACTGCCACTCTATCCACCTTACCGAAAAAGACGGGGTTGGGGGGAGTTTAACCTTCTCTTACGGAAGAGAAGGTTACCCAGAACCTCCAAGAGTTTTTTATCTCCATGCAGTCCAAAATTACCAAGCATGCCAAGGGGGAGGACCCTATAACTGAAAATCAAGATCCACAGATGACACAGATATTGAAATTATGAGAAAAGGACTTTGAAATGTCTATGATTAATATGATAAAAAAAATAAAAGGAAAAAGAACAAAATAGACAGAAAGATGGAAAATTCACCAGAGCCTTGAAATCTATGCTATTTAAAAATTGAGAAAATTCAGAAGTGAAAATGTTATTTTTAAAATTAAGAGCTCCATAGATAGTTTATCAGCAAGAGGAGATTAGTGAAGATAAATTAACAGAAAATATCCAGATTAAAGCATAAAGAGGAAAGTAGCACGTGGTTTCTAAAGCTGGTCGCAGGAATAGGGCGTTCTCTTTGTCGCACAAGTGGCACGGCTCGTTTAAGCCAGTAGTGGAGGCGCTGAGGGAAGCTGCAGTGGGAGTGTTCAAGGATTCACTCTGGGTCCCCTAAGGTGTTTCAGGCAAAGGTAACAGGCTAAATGATGTGGCACAGGGCCCTCCCCATGCAGGATGTGCTTTGGTCAGTACATTTAAAGTTGAAGTTTGCTGCTAAAGATGGCAGATCCAGATGTCCTCACCGAGGTTCCTGCAGCATTGAAGCAGTTAGCCAAGTATGTGATCCGGGGGTTTTATGGCATTGAGCATCCTTTGGCCTTGGACATCTTGATCCGAAACCTCTGTGTGAAAGAGGAGGACATGCTGGAGCTGCTCAAGTTTGATCAGAAGCAACTTCGATCACTCTTGAATAATTTAAAGGGAGACAAATTCATCAAGTGCAGAATGAGGGTGGAGACTGCTGCAGATGGGAAAACCACTCACCACAACTACTACTTTATCAATTATTGTACTCTTGTTTATGTGGTAAAATATAAATTGGACCACATGAGAAGGAGGATTGAAACTGATGAGAGAGATTCCACCAACCGGGCCTCCTTCAAATGTCCCATCTGCAGTGGTACTTTTACAGATTTAGAAGATAATCAGCTCTTTGATCCCATGACAGGAACTTTCCGCTATATTTTCTGCCACACAGAGGTCAAAGAAGATGAATCAGCAATGCCCAAAAAAGATGCACACACACTTTTGGCAAGGTTTAATGAACAAACTGAGCCCATTTATGCTTTGCTTTGAGAGACAGAGGATGTGAACTTGGCCTATGAAATACTTGAGCCAGAACCCACAGAAATACCAGCCCTGAAACAGAGCAAGGACCGTGCAGCAACTGCGGCTGCAGCTGCTGCCCTGGCAGGTGGGCACCACCAGGAAGCATGGGCCACCAAGGTCCGTCTTATGAGTACTTATACACTCAGAATGTTGTCATTAACATGGATGACCAAGACGATCTTCATCGAGCCTCACTGGAGGGAAAATCTGCCAAAGAGAGAACTATTTGGTTAAGAGAGAGCACTATCGAAGGAGCACATAGTTCTGAAGAGATGAAGGAAGGTGGCTTAGATATAGACTCATTTCAGGAGCGTGAGGAAGGCCGTGCGGGGCCAGATGATAATGAGGAGGTCATGCGAGCACTGCTCATTCATGAGAAGAAGACCCCCTCTGCCACAGCAGGCTCAGTGGGGGCAGCTGCTCCTGTGACCACTGCCAATGGCAGTGACTCTGAGAGTGAGACCAGTGAGTGAGACAATGACTCTCCACCCTGTGCGGCAGCTGTGGCTGCACATCATGGGGAAGAGGATGAGGAGGAGGATGAATTTGAGGAAGGAGCAGATGACCCCATTGTCATGGTGGCTGGCCGTCCGTTCTCCTACAGCGAAGTGAGCCAGAAGCCAGAGCTGGTGGCCCAAATGACACCAGATGAAAAGGAAGCGTACATAGCAATGAGACAACGCATGTTTGAGGACCTCTTTGACTGAGCTTTCCCTACCTTTTCCTCCCTTCTCTAATGCTCATTTCAAAAAGAAATTCCCTACCTTTGAAGAAAGTGTTTAGTGGCTTTCTGCCCCTCTTGATGTAAATCAACTGTTAATCTTGTGCAAAGAGTAATGGGAGAGAAAGTTTGATTTTTATGCCAGAAACTTCCCCACAATGTAGGTAGCATTCCCTTTCCTATTACTACAGTATTAATATTTTGCTGTATTTCCTTATCTAATTTTTTTCCTTTCCCTTTTAAGACACATTTTCTCCCTTCTGAAATGAGTGCGAGAAGTCTAAAGGTAAATTCTTCATGTCTGCCTGTAGAAGCTCACTTTGATAGGTTACAGTAATTCACTGACCACATCCTTCTTATATATTCTGACCAAGCATTCCAAACAGCTCCTGATATTGCTGCCAACCAAGCAGCTTGGCAACAGGCAAATCATTGATGAAGGAAAAAAAAAAAGTCTTAAGACTTCATATTGCTTCACAGTTTAGGATGGAGTCAATATGTAAGGGGAGGTGGGAGTGTCTGTGGAAGAAGGATGGTTATGTGTAAATCTCAAGATTAATACTTAAACCAAAATTGGTGTCTTTAGAACTGACTTGACTGACAGATATTGTTTTGCTTAATGCCTTTTGGTTTGTATGTTGGATAATAGAAAACAGAAAGTGTGTTTGGTAAGCCCTTAGGAAGAAATTAGAGAAAAAACGGACTTAGGACGAGGAGTCCATGTAAACGGTTGAAGAGTGGAGAGTACTGGGAACAGTACCTTTTAACACTGTCTGAGTTTGTGCTGACTTGGAAATCCTTTATATAAAGCTGAGACTGGTCCCCTTCTTCAGTTCTTCCACAGTGCTATAATTGTTTAAAGAGGCCATTCCAGCAGAAATCAGCATATGACAATTGATTACTCCTCTCTCTTTTTTTTTCTCTCAAATTATTGAAGGCCTTGTCTCTTCTGATTCTTGTCAGGCATGGTACTTTAGAGTTCATCCAGTATATCGCTGAGCATTGTAACCTCAAGGAAAATGCTTTATTTTTGGTTCTGATATGCAGCATGGTATTACTCCTTAAGGCAGAACTTTAAAGAGCTTTCATACAAGGGTCTACAACAATTGTATTTTTATAATATTTCCCTTGCATTGTCATTTTAAGTATTTATCATTTTATAGTACATGTGTAAAGTTAAGATAGATTTTAAACATCTGAGCCTTGTATAAAGTAATGATTCATTTACCTGGGTTGTATTATGACTGAATATTGACAATAAGTCTATTTTATACTGACTGAAATTTGTTAATCTAGCTCTGTAACACCTTGGAGCATAATTAAAATGCCTACTCTTCCCATTTAAAAAAAAGCATAAAGAGGAAAATAAAAATATATAAAATATAGAAGACTATAAAAAATATGAAATATATGGGATAGAGTCAAAATGCCTACCCCAGCAGTTCTCAAACTGTTTGGCTTAAGGATATTTTCATACTCTTAAAAAATATGGATCTCCCCAAGAACTTTTGTATACGTGGTTATATTTATTGACATTTATCACATTAAAAATTAAAGCTGAATAAAAATTTAAACATAAGAATACACAAGCATATATTACATTAGCCATTAAAACAACGACTGTCTTCACATATCATATAGCCTCTGGCGTACTTCACTATATTCTCCTGCAAGAATGTGAGTAAAAGAAGAAAGCAATATCTTAGTGTTACTAGGAAAATAGTTTTAAATTTGTGACTCTGCAGAAAGAGGTCTAGTCTTTCTATAATGGGGAAATGGCAATATTTAAAACATCAGAGTCAACTATTTCCCAAAACTAATGAAAGACATCAATCCACAGTTTCAAGCTCTACAAACCCGACAGGATAAATACAATGAAAACTATACGTAAGCACCTCATAGTAAAACTGCAGAAAAACAAAACCATAGTAAAAAATATTAAAGGAACAACATTAAGATTAAGAGCTAACTTTTTAACAGGAAATATATGTCAAATAACAATTGAATTATATACAGTAAAGTGCTGAAAAAAAATAAACTGCCAGCCTAGAATCCTAAAACTAGTTTAAAAAAAAAAAGTCCCTTAAAAATTAAGGCAGGCAATGTAAAATGGTACATCCACTACAGAAAACAATTTGGCAGTTCCTCAAAAAATTAAAAATAATTTACCATATAATCCAGCAATTCTACTTCTGGGTACATACCCAAAAAAAGTGAAATCAGGGACTCAAAGAAATATTTACACATCTATGTTCATAGCAGCATTATTCACAACAGCCAAAAGGAGGAAGCAATTCAAATGTTCATCGAAGGATGAATGGATAAACAAAATGTGGTACACATACAATGGAATATTATTCAGCCTTAAAAAAAGAAGGAAATTGTGACACATGCTACAACATGGATGAACCCTGAAGACATTATCCTAAGTGAAATAAGCCAGTCACAAAAGGACAAATACTGTATGACTCCACATATATGAAGTACTCAGAAGCGTCAGATTTATAGAGACAGGAAGTAGAATAGTGGCTGCCAGGAGAAGGGAAAGGGGAGAATGAGGAATTATTGTTTAATGGGCACAGAATTTCAGTTTGGGAACATGACGAAAATTCTGAAGATGGATGATGGTGATGATTGCACAATAATGTGAATATACTTAATGCCATTAAACTATACACTTAAAGATGGTTAAAATGGTAAATTTTGTTATGTATATTTTACGACAATTTCAAAAAATTAAGGTAAAATAAAGACACTTTTCATACAAACAAGCAAAAAAATGAGAGAATGTGTCAGTATTAGGCTTGCATTCAAAGAAATGCTAAAGAGAGTTCTTCATGCAAAAAGAAAGTAATCTCAGAATAAAGCACAGAAATGTAGGAAACCAAAAAGGGGTAAACATAAATGAATGCTGACTCTACATAATAATAATGTCTTGGGGGCACTAAATGACATGTAAAATTAAAATTCATGACAGCAATAGATTAACAGATGGGAAAGGGTAAATGAAAATGAAGTGTTATATGGTCCTAGTAGTATCAAGGAAATGATAAAAGAATTAATTTATATTATACTTTAATGAGTCAAAGATGCATGTGGTAATCCTTAGAGTAATTCCTATAGATTAGAAAAAGAAGAACCAAAAGACAGCAAAAGAAAAAAAACAGTCAATAATCAGGAAAAGAAAATCTAGCAGCCATCAGACCTTTCTACAACACCGAACACCAGAAGACAATACTCAGGGAAACAAAATACGAGTCAAAGTTTTAAGTTCAATGAAGCTGTCCTTTGAATGTACAGTCTACAGAGCAGCCATTCTGAATATACAAGAACTCAAAAATTATTGTTTATATAAGTCCATCTGAAGGTAACTGGTAGAGAAAAACTCCAACCAAACTAAATAACAAGAGAAACGTCAACAAAAAAGACTGGAAGTAATAAGGGAACATATTTAACTGCAACTCTAAGACAAAAAGATCAGATTAAGAGAGACAAAATATGGTATATAAAAATAGCATGTGGGCTTCCCTGGTGGTGCAGTGGTTTAGAGTCCGCCTGCTGATGCAGGGGACACGGGTTCGTGTCCCGGTCCAGGAAGATCCCACATGCCGCGGAGCAGCTGGGCCCGTGAGCCATGGCCGCTAAGCCTGTGCGTCCAGAGCCTGTGCTCCGCAACGGGAGAGGCCACAGCAGTGAGAGGCCTGCGTACCGCAAAAAAAAAAGAAAGAAAAAAAAAAATAGTATGTGATAACACAACATTGTAAATCAACTATACTCTAATAAAAATTTTTTAAATAGTATGTAAAAATTATACAACTAATAAAAAGAAGAGAGAAAAGATAGAAAGTAGTATAAGCTGGTGACGCTTCATACGTCATAACTGGGAGTCAAAGCTAAGCAAATCAGGTACAAGTCTACAATTCCTAATCTAAAACCCTTGGGGTTTAGTTTAGTAACATTAGTAACTCTGCAGCAAATGTAGGAATATTCACACAACTGGTAAATATAAAGACTATCACTATCTCACAGCAACTCACATCAAGTTTTGTTGCCAAATGATTCAGACAGCTTTTGACGACAAATGGTTTCAGAGTCTTTGGAATTTTCATATTGCAAATGAGAGATTACGGGCTAGCAGAATTCTAAACATTTTAAGACTATAAAGTAAAACACTAACATAATATTATTGACTAATACTTGTGGTCACAGAAAAGAGAGGGAAAGAAAATACAGGAAATTCTACTGTTTCTGTCAGATGAGGAACCAATAAGTACTATCTTCAAAAAAAGGGGGGGGGGGGAAGGGGAGACTGAGGATACAATTCAAAGGAACCACAAGAACAAAAATATAATTTTTAAAAAATTATAAGACAAAACAGATCATGAGATCTTCACAGTAGTATCTTCCTCCACCCCCCCAAAACAATCCTTTTAGTTGATACTAAATTATTTTTAAATGATGACTACAGTGATCCAAATTCCCAACTTGTACTTGCAGAATAAACTGCTGATGAGCATAAAAGTCACTAGGGGGCAGCAGAGCACAAGGAGTGTCCTCTGAAAAGCAGTGAAAACTCCAAAGGACTTACATAGCCAGTTATCCACTGCTCAAAACCTCTCAGTCATTCACAAGCACAAAAAGACACTCACCAATTAATCTGTAAAATCCACTTCTAAGAGATTCATTATATTACTTCATAATTTTTTAATTTTTATTTTGAAATAACTTCACATTGTACAAATAATAGAGAACTCCTATTTAGCCGTTATACAGAATTCACCAATTTGTAATGTTTTTGCCACATTTGTTTTAACACTTTCTCTTCTACATATATGTACATGTATGTTTAGAATATGTTGCATGTATTATACCCTTAAAACTACAATGTGTATTTCCTATCTTATCTAACTATAATACAATTATCAAATTCAAAAAATTTACATTGATACAATTATAATCTAATCCATAGTCCATATTCCAGTCCTGTCAACTGTCCCAATAATGTTCTTTAGAGTGTTTTCATTTCCTCCTGGAGAGTATCCGACCCAGTACCATGTATTACATTCAACTGTCATGTTTCTTCAGTTTCCTTTCATCTAAACTATCAGCTCTCCAGCATTTTAAACACAATTTTTAATTTTTATACTATTAAATATTAAGAACCCTAAAGAACTTTTGTTTACATTGATTTATATATATATCAATATTTACTATATTAGAAATTAAAACTGAAAATTAGAAATATTAATTCATTAATATTAAAACCCAATAATATTTACATGTTAAAGAATATATTTTATGAAAAATAATTTTATATTCTGAAATAAACAAATAAAAAATAGTTGGAAGAGTCTTTTGCATTTGTGCAAATATATTTAATGTCTGCAGAAGATATCTGGACTCTATAACCACTTCTACATTAAATCTATTAAAATGTGGGGTTTTGGTTACAGTACATAAAGAAAACCCAGCCTTGCACATATGTAGTTGGAAAGGGGAGAAAGTATTTTTAAGCCTTTTCAGAAAACTTTATATATATATATACACACACACACACACAAATTTATGATACAACCTCAAAACTTGATGAGTTCTAGATTAAAATTCATTGGTCTATCTTATACTTCAAATGAATCTTTTACCCATGTATGATTTTGTAACATCAGGTATTGTTCATTTGAAAAATACTGGTTCGCTGGGTTTCGCAGGTTTTGCAAGTGTTGATATATTTCATTATACAATTCAAAAAATCACATTCATTATATCACCACTCAGTCCCATAAGAAAAGTTTATAAGTACTGGCAATCTTAAGAGGGCGACAGGCTACATCTGAAAATATAAACAGGCAGCAATAGTAAATTCCACACAAGTAGTGCAAATAACAAATCGGTCATTCTGCAGAGCACAATAATAAAAACAGACTTAAAATCTAGTCATAATATGATTCATGCTAGTAATGAAAAAACTGTCATTTTATATATTGATAAAGAGTCCCTGGTTGATCTTTAGTCTGTTTATACCAAAAAGTCATCTTTTCAATTCAGGAAAGGGATATACAAATTTCAATAACCAACACGTTCAGCCATTCATGGGTATTAGTCATCTCCTATTCCTTCTGAACACATCACATCTTTGGGTTAAAGGCTAGCATGCTCAAGCAAAGGTTTTCCAAAAATGCCATGTTTCAGAGGAAAGTTAAGATCACCAATGAACTCTAAAGTTTATTTCCTTTAGGTTTGTCAGTTTTCTAAAAGGTGTTAAAGTTCAAAAATATAATAAAGAAAACAAACAGTTTAGTGAAGAAAGCAAGATACAAAGTCCTTAAGTATCTATCCATATATTAACACAATATATATATATAGTGCACGTGTACATTAATAATATAATATAAACATTACAGTATTTATAATAACATTTAGTCCATGTTCACTACTTATAAAGGACTGTTCTAAACACTCTGTATGTACTATCTTGCTTAATTTCAAAGCCATCCCATGATATAGAGTAACAGTATTATTTTCATTTTACATACAAAGAAACTGACTCACAGATAAGATAAATTATTTGCCAAGTCACAGAGCCATGATTAAAGTATAAGTATACTGACACGGAATCCCACACTCATCTATTTCTCTATCTGCCCATAAAAAAAGAATATATAGATACTTCCCTGGTGGCGAGTGGTTAAGAATCTGCCTGCCAATGCAGAGGACATGGGTTCAAGCCCTGCTCCAGGAAGATTCCACGTGCCACGGAGTAAATAAGCCTGTGCGTCACAACTACTGAGCCTCCGCTCTAGAGCCCGCGAGCCACAACTACTGAGCCCGCGTGCCACAACTACTGAAGCTCGCACACCTAGAGCCAGTGCTCCGCAACAAGAGATGCCACTGCAACTAGAAGCCCGCGCACCGCAACGAAGAGTAGCCCCCGCTCACAAAGAGAGAGCCCGCGTGCAGCAACGAAGACCCAACGCAGCTGAAGATAAATAAATAATTTTTTTAAAAAAAGAATATATAATATACATATATGAAATGTACATATTATAACTTGCTGCCCCAATACAAAATATACATAACTTTATAAATATACA